TTTGGCCTGTCAAATTGGAAATTGTTTTTCTGCATGACAACCGGTTTCATTTCTGGTGTATATCTGCAGCAAAATGAGCCTAACAGTCTAGATCCATGTCCTCCTGAACCAGCTAGACCAGTTGTTCATTCGTTCTGCAAGGTTTTAACTGCTTCTGATACCAGCACTCATGGTGGGTTTTCTGTCCTCCGAAAACATGCTACTGAGTGCCTACCTCCTTTGGTGAGACTTGCTTTTTATTCCTCCTACAAGAGATGTTTTTGCTCTCTCTCTCTCTCTCTCTCAGTTTCAGTCTTCTTAATTTCCATTCTGAATTTTTTTCCAGGACATGACTCAGGCTACCCCAACTCAGGATCTGGTAGCCAAGGATCTTCATGGATACGAGTGGCGATTCAAGCATATTTTCAGAGGTAATGCATTATCTAATCATTTATAAATCTTATACAGAGATTTTTCTTTAATCATTGATCTATGTAATTTGCTCAATCATATGTTATTTGGCTTATTGCATTAAGCGATCCCCTTTTATGAGCAGGGTGAAAGTTTGGTTATCCCGTCTGCTTTGCCAATAAAATTTTCTTTATTACATGATCAGGTCAGCCACGAAGGCATCTGTTAACAACTGGGTGGAGTACATTTGTTACTTCTAAGAGATTATCTGCTGGGGATTCCTTTGTATTCTTGAGGTAACAGTTTTATCTATCGTCTCTTCCTCATCCACCCTGTCCATTGCGTTTTTATGTGCGAGAATCAGACTGTGTTAACTTCAAACATGGACAGAGAGGTTTTGAACTTTAATCAAATACATAACTTTTGAGGCACATGAACAGACAGAGAGACAGAAAGAGATAGGGTTAACAAAGCAATGTTATGTGGAAAACCTAAGCCTCACTGGGAAAAAACTAAAGGACCTAGTCTAGCATAAATCTACTATATGAAGTTACGGGGTTTGGATTTTTAGACTGCTCAACATACTCAAAATGCCTAGACTGTTACTCAAATTTCCAGCCTACATTGCAACTACAAATTACCTTAAGCTTAATATTGTATGCTAATGATTGCAGTTTTCTCCTCGTAATATTGTATGCTATGGACTCTTTAGTGGTAGAAAAAAATTGTTTAATTACAAGTTTAGTTCTTTAAGTTTCATGTTTGTGCCTAATAGGTCCTTAAACTTTGAATTTTGTGTCTTGAAAGTTGCTGATATGTTCAACTTTTTTTAAAATTAATTAATCTATGAGAATAAAATTGATCTTTGTGTCTAATAGGATGTTAATCATCTTTTCAATTTATATCTAGAAAGTTTGTGAATATTAAGAAATGTTGAATAGGTCAAGGTTCTAATAGACAAAATTGAAAGCTCAAAGACTTGTTAGACAAAAAAATCGAAAGTTTTGGAGCTTATTAGATAATTTTTAAAGTTCAAAAACTTGTTAGACACTGATTGAAAGTTCATGGACCTATTTGACACTAATTTGTATGTTCATGAGCTAAAGTTGTAATTTAACCAAAAAGACGTAATATGTGAAGCACAATGTATTGTTTGATCTCGTGAACTGTTGTTTGTTTGAACGAAGATCCTCTAAGGCCTCATGCATGAGCAAACACATCTGCTAATAATGAAGATGTTCACGGGTATCACTTATTTAGCAGCAATATTTTTGCTTGAGCCAGATCCTGCTTTCACTAAACAAAGAACAGCAGCAAGCAGTATCTGGTGTGATTATGAGACTGCAGCACAGTGATTGATTTTTTACCATTATTCTAGAGCCCTCTGCAAGCCATCCCCAAGGATTAAACATTCAAATGTTGCAAGAGTTTTATGAAAACATAGATTGCCAACTTAAGCTAGTTACGAACATGACTTGATACTGGAGTTGCATAATTATTTAACTCGTAGGTCATGGTTAGGGTAACTGTATTTTTATTAGACCTTTAAAACCTAATGTACCATCATGTGAACTATAATCTATGTTTAATTTCTCTGGTTGTACAAGCTTTAATTTATGTGAGAGTTGCTTGAATAGGGGAGACAATGGAGAGTTGCATGTTGGGGTGAGGCGCCGTGCTCGACAGCAGAGCAGCATGCCATCATCTGTGATATCAAGTCAGAGCATGCACCTAGGAGTGCTAGCAACTGCGTCTCATGCTGTTACAACTCAAACCCGCTTTGTAGTCTATTATAAACCTAGGTACTCAGGATTTTAATTCTGAAGTCAATTATATACTCATTGAAGCGGACTGAAATCTTTTTCTCCTTTAAATCAGGACTTGTCAGTTCATAATAAGTCTGAATAAATACTTGGAAGCAGTCAATAACAAATTTTCTGTTGGCATGAGATTCAACATGAGTTTTGAGGGAGAGGATTCTCCGGAGAGAAGGTAGTGAAATAAATAATAAAATTACTAGAATGTTCGAGATGTTTTGAGTTTTATCTCTTGATGTTTTTTTTTCTTCTTGTTTTTGACTTATTAGGTTTTCAGGAACTATAATTGGAGCTACAGATATTTCACCTCATTGGCCTAATTCAAGTTGGAGATCACTAAGAGTGAGCTGCCGTGAACCCAATTCCCACCGGGAATGTCATTTTAAAATCCCTTTTGAATTATTTACTTAATTTAATTGTTTCCAGGTTCAATGGGATGAACAAACATCTATTCTAAGACCCGACAGGGTATCGCCTTGGGATATAGAACCACTCACGTCTTCAGCAGTCACAGGTCTATCTCAACCGATTTCAAAAAACAAAAGGCCTCGACAATCAACTCCAGCTCATGGTGTGACGGTTTCTTTCTTCTCTCTGTTGTCTTTTATCTGGTCTCTTTTCCTTATAGACATATGTGCAAGTCACTGGATCAGTCGGTCCAATTTGTATTCCAGCGTCTATTTTATCCTTGGTTTCTAATTGAACTGTAGATGGTGCTGATTTGCCTAAGCCAGCACTTTGGGATTCTGGATTGGCAGAGTCACATGATGGTAAACAGTCCAGTAATGCAGCTGAAAGCAGAAAAGGTGAAAATAATGAATTGTGTCACCACAGAGAGACAGATGCTATCAGCAACAGGACATGTGTATCAAGAACACAGGCTGATGGGACCTGGCTATCTTCTATCCAATCCAATAGTCATAAACACCCAGTAAATGACATGGCCCAGGATTATAAAACTGTCCCTGGCTGTGGTTGGTCTTTTCTGTCAGGACCTTCAACCTCTCATTTGGTTAAGTTAAGTGATGAACAAATACTTGATTCCACTGAAAATGGGAGGAAAGGCGAAACGGTAGCTAGTTGTAGATTGTTTGGTATTGATCTCAATCATTTGGCTAAACTTCCTACTGAGAAAGCATCTTATCAACCAAGCAGCGTGTCTAGTGACACAGATGGGCGCAGCAGTACCTTGTCAGTAGCTCAGTCCGATCCAAAATCTGACAACTTGGAGGTTTCTGTAGAAAGAAAATCAGAACCATTACAAGCATCTCTGAAGGAGACTCAAAGCAATCAAAGTAGCTCAGCTAACACTAGAAGCCGCACCAAGGTGCAGAAGTTAAATTTGTTCACTCAATTTAGTTGTAAAGAATTTTGTGTTCAAGAACTAAGTAGGGAATTATTGTTTTACTTTTGTTTGATGTCCAATTGTGTCGAAAGGTTCACATGCATGGGATGGCCGTGGGTAGGGCAGTGGATTTAGCCATCTTAGAAGGCTATGACCAACTAATAGATGAGCTTGAGAAGATGTTTGATGTTAGGGGTCAGCTGTGTGCTCGTGATAAGTGGGAGATTGTATATACCGACGATGAAGGGGATATGATGCTTGTTGGAGACGACCCATGGGAGTGAGTACAATTAGATACTACTGGTTCAATCTACATGATTCTTCTCATAGACCTTGCTTCCACTTATTCCTTTGTTTTCCATCTTTCGCAGAGAATTTTGTAACATGGTGAGAAGAATTTTTATATGCTCTAGGGAGCAAGTGAAAAAGATGAGCTCAGGAAGCAAGCAGCTGACGTCAATAGAAGTCGAAGGGGCTGCCATAATCCCCGACTCCCCTGCAGTTTGAGATAGGAACTTAATTTTTATCATTCAAACTACACTTCCGATGTCTTTCCCTTGTTTGTTTGTTTTGTTAGAGCTTGTTTTGGTTCTAGGTCGATAATAAAATATGAAATTGAAAGCCAGGGCAAATGAAGGGCTGTTTATGTGACGGTACGTTTTTTAGAGTCAATTACAAGCCAAACTGGATTTTAATAACATGAAAGTCTCAGTAATTGCCGAAGGAGTTCGACTGGATGTTCGGTGTAATAATGCATTTTATCAGTGGCGTTTGGTTTCTGGGAAGGGGATGAGTTTGTGTGAGCCTTCTTTCTTTCCTGGTCAAAGTAAATATATGTATTTTCTGCACTTCAATCATTTTATTCAACTAGGCAGAAGACTGGAAGCATTATTTGATGCACAAGTTTCAAGAATTTGAACGCATTCAAATGCAAATCCTCTTTCGTTCAAGTATAACTCGTGTTTTATGTTACCTGCATGAGATGTTTAAGCCATATGCCCCACAAACTCAACAATAGAACCCTTTATTTCCATTCTTTCCATATTCAGTGGTTAATGCAATGAAGAGGGGAGACAGGAAGTGTTCTAGTTGGCAATGTTCAAGTAATAGCTCTTTACATTCTGATCTCTAACAGGACTGTTTTGGCTGTCTGAAGATCACAATGCCTGGCTAGCTGCTATCAGTTACAGTGGGAGGTTGCAAAAAGCTTGTTAATATATATATGTTTGTGTATGAATATGGAGGACAACTGGTTCTCCCTCCATGGGAGTCACTCTTTTGAGTTATTAGTCCATTTCAACCTAGCAGTGTTGGATCAATACATTTAGCATATACTCTGACTTGATCCTTCCTGTTGTTGTTGCAGCTGCGGATGTAGGAGTGAATATGATCTCATCTCTGCAGTCTGGTTGGAAGTCAGGGGAAGCTCCGATGAGCCAGCCGGTGGTGGGGGTGGGGGAGACACAACAACCGGCGGATCAAAACACCTGGTTGTTGGGATGACTGAGCATCTACAGAGAGGACAAGTTGAGTTGGAGGTGAGCCAGTGATTCATGCAGTCAATATGAAACACATGTTTACATGATGGGACTTGCAACAATTCCTCTTTTATCTCGAATTCTCCTAGGCAGACGCAACACCTGTTAAATGGATAAGAAAATCATTACTTTTTCTTTGTTTCAGTGCTCATTTTCAACCCCACACATCCTAAGGGCAATATAAGGTTGACTTCAAATATCAATCTCTCCCCCCAAATTGGAGACATTTAATTGCAAGAAGGGGCCAACCTCAACTATACTCCACGGTAATGGACATGCACTTTTCTTAATTTCGAAAGTTCTAATTTTCATACTATACATTGGTTGAAATGATGTCCTAACTCTAGATTTATGCTTTTAGTTCAATAATTATGTAATTTCTATTCATGTTGGCCTTTATAATATCTATTTGAGAAATTTAGGTTTATAAACAAAAAGTTCAATGTAACGACCCAGATCCACCGCTAGCAGTATTGGCCTTTATAATATCTATTTGAGAAATCTGGGTCGTTCCAAATGGTATCAGAGCCAGTCACCGGACGATGTGTCGGCCTTCCCGCTGTTCCCTGAAGGGGGGTAGACACGAGGCAGTGTGCCAGTAAGGACGCTGAGCCCCAAAGGAGGGTGGATTTGGGGGCAGTCTCACATCGATTGGATAAAGGAACGAGTGTTAGCGAGGACTCTGGGCCCCAAAGGGGGGTGGATTGTGATGTCCCACATTGGTTGGGGAGGAGAACAAATCACCCTTTATAAGGGTGTGGAAACCTTCTCCTAGCAGACACGTTTTAAAACCTTGAGGGGAAGTCCGAAAGGGAAAGCCCAAAGAGGACAATATCTGTTAGCGGTGGATCTAGGTCGTTACATTCAATCCTTGTGCAGAGAAATAAATAAAGGTTTAAAAGATACAAACAAACAAGGCCATCCTCTTAGGAGTGCTTAAAACTAGGATTTAAATTTTAAATTACGAACTATTTATTAATTTACTAAAGTAATAAAAGAATATTGAAACATAATTACTATGTACAAAAAAGAACCAAACATGCCCTTCATCTTCAATATCAATTTTGTCGGCCTAATGTTCTACAAATAACTCCTTTCAAACAAAAGAAGACAAACAAAAGTAACTTATAGAACCAAAAAGTTTAAACCCACTTTTGAGAAATTAAAGTGAGGATGTTATAAGAGATTCCAATCCTTCAAAGAACAGTAATCTAAAAAAATCAACAGAAATTGAAAAAATGTTTAGCATTTAGCTTTATCATTGTTTGTTATGTTATGTGTGCTCCCTATTTAAGTCACTAAACCTTCCATCTCTATCTCTTGTCTGTTCTGTATTTTTGTCCCCTTTTATTTCTCTCTAACACATTAGTTTCTATTATAATGAGTTGTAGAGATATCTCGATACATAAATTATTCGATCTAGAGATCGGAGATCGAGTAAAACTGTTGGAGACATCACTAAACCACCTGAGTACGTCTCTTGCATAGAAGAATTCATAGAGATTTTTTTAGAATCCCAATCCAGCCTACCCAACTGATATAATCTAGAATCCGCTCTCGTCCTTTACTTAACTTTAGTAGGTGCACCTATTGATTTCTATCCTGAGTACTTTAACGAATAAAAAGAAGAAAAAAGTATTCCCTTCCTGTTATCTTTGTGGTAGCTTTTGTAAATTCAGTAAAGAAACTCAGAGGGCCACAGATCTTTTAACGATCAGAAATGATGACACTTACAGAGAATCTCTGGTCCTTAGCTCTTCATTGAATAGGATCTTAGGAAGTTTGTCTACGGGATTATCAGCCTTCAAATCCACTTGACAAGCCTGCACAATTAAGATCAGTGAGATGAAGAAAAATGGCACAAAATCACTGCAAATCAAACACCCACTTCCAAAAAAGGAAAAAAGATGAATGCTAAAGCTTCAAATCTTCCTTAGATTCTCTGACCCCAAAAGTAAATTACAGAAATGGAAACACCCAGAATAAGAAAAAGACAGCAAACTAGGAAGATGAAGAAACAGAGGAGTTTTGCTTACAGTGGTAACATAGAGAGTGAGTGTATTGGAAGTAGTTGGAAGTATTGGGGGAAAAGAAGAAGAAGAAGAAGAAGAAGAAGAGAGAGAGGAAGCCCTTCTCTTGAGATAAAACAGGTAGAAAAGAAGGAAGAGAATAATGGAGAAGAGGATGGGAATGGAGAATATGAAGGCCTGATAAAGCTTAAGTTGAAGTGCTTGAGGATAAAGATGAGGAGGGGCTGGAGTTTGAGGCTGACCCATCAAAGCAAAGCAATAAACTTATAAAAGATCAAACCCAAAAACTCGAGCCAAATCAGAAACAAAGAAAGAAAGAAGGAAAGAGAGCTTCCGTCTTTGCTTATACAGAGAAAGAGAGAGAATAGAGAAGCTTGTTTGAATTTAAGGTCAGAAAAGGAGAGGGGATTTTGTTAAAATAATGTCACTTTGTCAAGAAAATATAAGCAAATTAAGGCCATTTGGAGAGGGTTCTTTTTGATGATGGGACATGGCCACAACCCTCCACTGAGTTAGTAGCAGAGCAGAGGGCTCTGTTTTCACCAAGCACTGAGGCCCCCATGTTTGAATCTTCCAAAAGCTTCCTTCCATAACCCATAACCCATAACCCATAAGCCAAACCATCTTCCTTGTTTCTGCTCGAGAAAGATGGGTTCTTGTCTTATAAATCATTGTTCCTTCAGATTTAAAGCAGTTTGGTTAGAAGGTCAAAATGGGTTCTAACCACCTTTAGGAAGGAAAAAAGAAGAGAAAAGGAAACAACCTCATAATTGACAGCAAATTGGGTTCTGGTTCGGTTCAAATTCAACTTGAACACGTTACCCAGTACACAATTTTATTACATAACATTAAGGTTGTCTCTCAATTTGTCCCATCAGCAAACAGTGTGTTAATTCATTCCCTGTTGCCATTGCATGTGATGTTTTTCTTCCCTCTTTTGGTTCCTGTTCGTTCTTACTTTTCTTCTGTGATGAGGGGTTGGAAGTTGGAATAATTAAGTGATGAAGGGTTGGAAGTTCATCTAGAATCATCCTTTGAGTTCATAATTGGTGATTTTGATTACTCCATACTTGCTCCTATTTAGAATGAGATGTAATTAAGTTTTTAATAGTACAGGAAACAAAATAGTCATTTTCAAAGTACAAGAACCTTGATTTTGATTTGGAAGTACATAAACTAAATTAAATTTTTTTAAAATACAAGGACCAATAACAAATTTGAATTAATTGTTTAATTAGCTTTACTACAAAAAATATATATATATATATATATATTCAATAAAATTCATACAAAGATTAAAATATTGATGTTAAGATTTCAATTTTTCTGATATATGGACACAATATGGATATCAATAGAAATTTCTATAAATAAAAAGAAAGTATAAGAATTATTTAAGTTCATAATCAAGTAGTTTTTTTTTTTTTTTTTTTTAATTTTGTGTATTAATAAAAGATATATGAGATGTTGATCTTAATATCAATATTGACCGTTTGATTTATAGATTTATTGAAATATCGATTACTATGGATATTGATATATTGATATATTTGTTTTAGTTTCTATAAATATACACATTTTGCAATGAAATTTTTTATTAAGTAGTATTTAAAAAATTAAGGAATATATATATATAACGCAATAATTTTTTTCTAGATTTTGTTTTAGAAAATCATTAATCCCTTATTTAAGTAAGCGGTGATTATTGATTTATATTTAAGTTGATTTTCGTGATCTTTATTAATTACCATATATTTTACGATTTCTTTATTATTGAGGTCTTAATATAATTATTTAAACATATTACAAGTTAAAATTTTGAATTAAATTTTGAATAGAGAAAAATAAAAATCAAATTATACTCTTCAAATTTAACTTTTAGACTAAAAAAGACGCATTATTTTGATTTGAACGAGAACGAGATCGAAACATTGAGCTTTGAGACAATAATTAGTATTTTAACCATAAATTATGTTCGAGTTGAGTTACATTTTTTTCTATTTTATTTATAATTAAAATAAAAATCTTTAACACAAAAATAATGAAAAAGATAAAAAGGGAAGAAATGTTCAAAGCATTATCATAAAGTGATATTTACGGTCTGAACTTCTCATCATTGAAAAAAACATTTGATGTGTTGCCAAAGTTCGTTTGAAGATTGTTTTTTCTATTTAAAAGGGTAAAAAAAAATTATTTTTTTCTCAACTAGAAATAAATAAATTTATTCCTTTCACAATCACTAATTTTTAATCAATAATTTCAACTTAAAAATATCAACTTTAATCATTCATTGGATCACAACTTAAAAAAAGTTAAAAAAAAAAAAAAAACAGCCCTGAAATTCTACCTAGTACTCCATGTTCATATTTCTCTCTCTGTTTCTTTTGAATCCAAAAGCATTTTCAAAGCACTTTCAAGGGAGAGTGTTGGTTGATCGGTAGACCAGGACAGTCGTTGGTGGATCATTAAAAAAATGGTTCATAGTCGGAGTGGCTTTTCCGGCTATGAAAGATCAACGTCTAATCTTACTCTATTTCACTCTCTCATTATCCACAAAGGTATCATTGAAGACTTTTTCGTTTCTCAATGATTGTGATTAGGACGTTCAAAAAAGTTAAATTCTCGTTTCAATCTATTACTATATTCACTAAAGATTGTACTAAGATTAAAAAGAGGACATATACAAGACTTTACAACCCAAACCCGAACGCGAAAATCCTATTCAAAGCATTTGAAGCGTTTGGGGATTAAAAAGAACAGCAATCAGATGGTTATGGATAAAGGCTAAATGGCCATAGAGTTGTCACAATAGCAGCACTCCATCGGAAAAGGAAAAGCACAAACAGCAACTACACATTGCTTTGAATCAAATTGTACAAAACATGACGTGAAACACCAAGAAATTTGATTTACAGTGTCAAATAAATGGTCTAGTATTTTCGATTCCTTACCTTGAAACTCATTGATCGAATGACATCGTCGTCTGCTTGAAGCGCTGCCTCGAGAACTCTCATCGATTCCGGTTTTGTGAAGTAGGTGAAGAGGAGGTTGATGCCATCCATGTAAGTGTTGGTTTCACCGGCTTTGTTCTTCTTTTTGATGCTATATGCTAGTGGAACGAGCCCTCTGTTGAATACTTCCACATACATGCCACCACCAGCAACAAGCAACTGCAAAATGGCAAATTCTTATCAAATACTACGCTGAAAACAAAACAAAACTAGCTTGATCCTTACCCACCAATGATTGTCCCTTTACCAAAAGAAACGTTTGCTTGTATATAACACTAAATTAGTTGTTCAGGATCACGAATCTCTACAATGGTACGATATTGTCCACTTCGAGTATAAGCTCTCATGACTTTGCTTTTGGTTTCTCCAAAAGGCCTCATGCTAATGGAGATGTATTCCTTATGAACCCATGATCAACCCCTTAATTAGCCGATGCGGGATTCCTCTCCTAACAATCCTCAACTATTCTCCCCTCGAACAAAGTATATCATAGAGCCTCCCATTTGTGAGATCCTATATTGGTTGGGGAGGAGAACGAAACGTTCTTTATAAGGATGTGGAAACCTCTCCCTAGCAGACGCGTTTTAAAAACCTTGTGGGGAAGCCTGAAAGGGAAAGCCCCAAGAGAACAATATTTGCTAGCGATAGGCTTGGGTCGTTACAAATGGTATCAGAACCATACATCAGACGATGTGTCAGTGAGAAGGCTGAGCCTTGAAGGGGGGTGGACACGAGGCGGTGTGCCAGCAAGAATGCTGGGCCTCGAAGAGGGTAGATTGAGGGGTCCTACATCGATTGGAGATGGGAACGAGTGTCAGCGAGGACGCTAGGCCTCGAAGTGGGGAGGAGAGGGGTGGATTGTGAGATCCCACATCGGTTGGGGAGGAGAACGAAACATTTTTATAAGGGTATGGAAACCTCTCCCTAGCCGACACATTTTAAAAACCTTGAGGGAAAGCTCGAAAGGAAAAAACTCAAAGAAGAGCTTGGGCCGTTACACCTTAATTGAGGCTCAGCTTCTTCTCTGAAGCCCTCGAACAAAGTACACCATTTGTTCGACACTTTAGTCACTTTTGATATATCTTTGAGACTCACAACTTATTTGTTCGACGTTTGAAGATTCTATTGACATAACTAAGTTAAGAATCACGAGGATATAACAAGCAAACAGCTCTCTATCAGAAATAAACAGTCCATTCAGGCAACTATGCTATGTTGCTATTCGGATCAGGCAACTTTTCCTCCAAAAATGCTTGGTGACTTTCCTCTCTTTCCTGCCTTTCTTGAATGTTCTCTCATAAAGATGGTCTCAACGCTGTCACTGTCCTAGCTAGTGCCCTCCACATCAAAGCTGTTTAATACTACACTGTTTTCCAAGCACTAAAACTTGGCTTATGGATTAAATTTGTATAGCAGGGGATCAAAAGACCAAAGTGTTTAAAATGTTGATGGGTTTATTTGTGAGATTCCACGGAGAGAGAGGTGAACGAAACATTCCTCATAAAGGTTGTGGAAATTGTTCCCTAGCAGACGCATTTTAAAACTGTGAGGCTGATGACAATATATGTCGAGCTAAAACATACAATATCTGCTAGCGGTGGGTTTGAGCTGTTACAAACAGTATTTGGGCCAGACACCGAGCAGTGTGCCAACGAGAATGTTGGGACCCCAAGGAGAGTGGATTGTGAGATCCCACGTCGGTCGGAAAGGGGAATGAATCATTGCTTATAAGGGTGTAGAGACCTCTCCCTAGCAGACACGTTTTAAAATCGTGAGATTGACGACGATAAGTAACGGACCAAAATGGACAATATCTGCTAGCAATGAGTTTGGTATAAATGGTATCAGAGCCAAATACTAGGCGGTATGCGAGCAAGACTGCTGGGCCCTTAAGGGGAGTGGATTGTGAGATCCCACGTTGGTTGAAGAGAAGAACGAAACATTCTTTAAAACTGTGAAACTTACGACGATATATAATGGGCCAAAGCGGACAATATCTATTAGCAGTAGTGGGTTTGAGCTGTTACATTATTCCAAACGTTAGCAAACTTAATATTACACAAATCTAGACTCATAAGACGCATATCATCCCTACCGTTACTTAGAAGGCTTCACACAATAAGAGGTTCTCTCTTCTCAGGTACCAAACAATGAAACAGAGCAGACAGGAAAACTCCTACGTTAGAATTCTGCCACTGCATTCCCATGAAGCTGCATAAACTACAGTCCAAGTAGATTTCATATGCACCAGAACAAAACATTCTTTCATAGGACTCCAATTTTAGAAGTATTGAGGGAAAGTCCAAAAGAGAAAATTAAAAAATAACAATATCGGTTAGTGGTGGATTTAGACGGTTACAAATAGCATCAGAGCTAGACATCGAGCGATATGCCAGCGAGGAGGCTAAGCCCCGAAGAGGTGGATACAAGGCAGTATGCCAACAAAGATGTTGGGTCCCAAAAGGAGGTGAATTAGGGTATCCCACGTCGATTAGATAAAGGAACAAGTGCAATGAGCTTCGAAGAAGTGAATTGTAAGATCTCGCATAGTTGGGGAGAAGGAAACATTCTTTCTAAGGGGTGTAAAAATCTCTCCCTAACATACACGTTCTAGAAATCTTGAGAGAAAACTCAAAAGGAAAGTCGAAAAAAAGATAATATCTACTCCCAAAAGACAATATCTACTAGAGTCGGGATGGACAGTTACAATTGTGTTCTCATTCTCCTACCTCATTGTTAGAGGAACACGACTCTTCACAATGGTATGATATTGTCCACTTTGAGTATAAGCTCTCGTGGCTTTGCTTTGGGCTTCCCAAAAGGCCTCGTACCAATGGAGTTAGTATTCCTCACTTATAAACCCATGATCATGCCCTAAATTAGCCGACGTGGGACTTTCATCATCCAACACCTCCCCTCGAACAAAGTGCACCTCCCCTTAATCGAGACTCGACTCCTTTAGAGTCTTTGTCATTTTTTACTGCCTTCAAGGAGGCTTGGCGGCTTCTTTTCTTTTGGAGTTCTTTGTTCGATATTTGAGGATTTACCAATCTATTGGCACGACTAAGTTTAGGGCATGGCTCTGATACCATGTTAGACGAACACGACTCTCCACAATGGTATGATATTGTCCACTTTGAGTATAAGCTCTCGTGGCTTTGCTTTGAGCTTCCCAAGAGGCCTCATACCAATGGAGTTAGTATTCCTCACTTATAAACCCACGATCATTCCCTAAATTAGTCGAGGTAGGACTTTCATCATCCAACACTCGTTACCTAGGAAGGCCAGAACGAGCACGTGACCTTCAAACCAATTTAAACACAATAACAAACTGTATGAAATGAAACTAGTCTAAAAAACATTCAGTTTTCCACAGAAACCAAAGATAAATTAGGGGAAAGGGAAGAGACCAGCAATTGAAATGCCATTACCTCTTCGTACTTCTGGGTGAGAGCGAGTCTTTCATCTTCAGACATATCAGGCCTCAGAATCACCATGCTCTCGTACTTCCGAAGACCAGGAGGACACTGAGGCTCCTCCTTATCTTCAAGGGCATCGGCGAATCCTGTCCCTGGAGGGGCCGGCGGCTCATCCTCAGCCCCAAATCCACCTTCGAAGAACGAACCTGAGAATTCAAGAGTCTGGGCTTTCACGGACAATCCGAGACCCAAAGAAGGGGCGATTCGGTTGGGAGGAAAGAGGGGTTTGGAGGGTGTGAGGGTAAAGGGGAAGAGAAGAGAGGTTGAAGAAGAAGAGGCGGTGATGAGAGTGGAAGTGAAAGCCATTACAATCTGGGGGAGCTTTGCTGTAGAGGCACACTCGGAATTCAGTGGCGACAACGCGATGGCACAGCGGAATCGTTGAAATGAAAGTAGATATGGATAATAGAACATTCAGGACGGAACCAAATACCACATTAAATTACTTCATCAAAGTTCGTAAATTTAAATAAATAAATTTTGAAAAAAAAAAATATATCCATATCATTAAACAGTAAAATTACTATCTTTTAGAAGTTTTGGGTTCAATTGTCATGTTTATGTAAAGATAGAGGTGTCATTGATACAACCTGACAAATTTATGAGTCAAAATTGATTTTATTTTCTAAATATTTTTCAATTTTATGAAATGGTACTAATTTAATCTAAAACTATGTTAAAATTGGTTGATTTTATCATAGATTAAATTAGGAGTTTTGTTATCGGTGAAGTTGGAAGCCCTAAAATCCACCCTTTTTAATTTTGTTTCTAAAATTTAAAAGGTTTTATTTAGTGATAAAAAAAAAAAAAGACTAAAGTTGGGAGAGATTTTTTTTTTCTATAATTATTTTCATTTATCTCCCCGCAAAATAAACTTATAATCAACTCATATTTTATAAATTAGATTATCATATTTTCTTGCATGAAGAAAATATTAATCATAAAACCTTAGTAATAGATGAAAGTTGAAAGGAGAAATATGAGTACCATGCAATCAAGTTAGAACGAAAAATATATATTTTAAACTAGTTGAACTATTCTTAAATCGAAGAAAAATGTTTAGAAAATAAAATTATAAATTTAATCAATTAACTAAAAAAAATTTATCTATCTTGTGTTTAAATTTCTAAACTTTAAATTTTGAAATTTAAAATTTTCATAAATGAAGGTAAACTCTAAATTTTCAATTTGGTAACTCCGTATTTATAATTAAAAAAAGCAACTAATGTAAAGTCTGACCATATTTAGAATGTATAAAATATAGGAAGTAAGTATCTAGCGCAATAATATGTTTGAACTCTTGTTTTCAGCCTAATCCAAATGGGTTCATAAACAAACTTGAGAGATCAATCTTTGGATAGTGAAAATATAGGCGCATGTTGGAAAATGATACTCGAGCAGAAGACAAAGAACTCTGCAACTCCTAAGGAGACAACTTCTGGACTCATCAACTACAGGCCTAATAATGCATTTGCATGCTCAAACTAATTGAAACTTGATAGACAGAGGGTGCGGTGCACTAAAATACCCAAACGAAAATTTTCAAAATATAGCGAAAACAAATTAAATGTAGTTTCTCAAATTCCAAGATCAAAACTTGGGCATGTACCTGTTTCTCTTTCATATGTGATCTCCTCGCACATTTTGCCTTCATCATTAACAAGTTCACAAGCAGCAAATTGACTTGTACCTTGCGTCCGAGAAATTGTATCTCTGAGAGAACTACTTTCGGCCTCCACATGCTCTGTCTGAAGAAGCCATGCAAACGTTTGGGAAAGGAATAAAACTAGAGTCAGGTAATGGGTAACTTGCTAAAGATCTTATATGACGAGTATCTAATGCACATTCAAAGGAGATATCGAAGAGAAATTTGGCCGCACCTGGTTGGAGTGTCCAATTTCGAGTTCTTCTGTCAATGTTGCTGCAGGATCAAAGATTAAATAAGTCTATAATTTGACACGACAAACTTAGAATTAAATTAAGTTTCATTTTCACGAGATTACATGGAGTTAGAGCAATGGATTGGTTGTTTTCTGCATTCTTAGTTGAATCCCTCGTGTCCAGATTTTCGCTTGGTTTTTTATGAGATCGGTCATCCATAGGAAGATCCAATGCCTCCGCCGCAAGGGAAGGTTCAGGAACCTTAGATGACGGAACTGATACGCAAATATTTTTATCGGAATGACCAGAAGAAAGGCTCACTCTAGCCTTTGGCCTTTGAAGAATGGACAATATTTCATGGGCTGCATGATATAAAACAAATAAGTAGTTAGTTTATAATCAACAGAACACAAACAAGGCCTAGTTCGAAAACCATTTTACTCTGTCTTTCAAATTATGCCATTTGAATTCTAAACCAAATTTCAAAAACCAAATCAAAATTTTTAAAACTACTTTTTTTCAGTTTTTAAATTTGCGAGGGACAAAGCATGAAAACTATATGTAAAAGTAGTGTTTATATGCTTCATTTTCAAAAACACAAAATAAAAAATCTAACTTGTTATCAAACTGGACAAAAGAGTTTAGAAGAATTATCAAGTAAGCATTCACAAACCATCCCGTAAAGACTTTTTCATAGTCGCTCTGTCCGATCCCTTTTCATCTTCACCAGAAATGCAAAAGCTGGTGTCTTTTCTTATATCAAAATCTCTGTTAGCGATCTCTACTGCATAAGACCAAAGGTCGCATAGCAAGGCAGAAAAATTATTAGATACCCATACGAACATTGGCTTAGAAACTAAAATCTAACATAAGGATCTGACCTTTAACATTTCCACATGCCTCACCAATCTCCACCAAGTACTTTGGAAGCTCAAGTATCTCCCCCATCCCCAATTTTTTAGATAAACTGAGGTGTTTACTGCTTAATATAGTTCTGTCTTCATTCAGTAAAGTAACCTGAATTAAATGTAAGAGTTAATCTCATAAAAGAGAAAATAAAAAAACCCTTGCAATTCATAGAATTGCATTAGTAACAGATTAAAATAATAAATAACGGTAAAATCTGATAACTATTTTTTTCTTGATAATCAGCCAGCTACTCAATTATCAGTACTGGATAATGGCCAGCACGTCCCAGAAGTGATCAATCAATTGATAAAAGCTGAAATTTTCTGGTAAACTAGCTATTGTTAGAGTAAATCATTAGTAGTTCTGATGTTTTTTTTCAACAATCTTGTTTGCACCTTTAGGCATGTATCTATCTATCTTTAACCGTGGCATCAAAAATACCGTTTGCCTTTATGCAAAAAATTGAAAGTTGAAAAATGAAACTCATATTGTGTAATAAAATTCAAATTCTTCTCTGAGACGGGGAGGGAGGTGACGGAGTGCAACTGCAAAAAGAAAGCAGGTAACATGGTGTTTAATACAAAGTAAATTAACCTGCATATGGTGAGAGCCAGAGGAGGAAATTTTGATGATCCCATTGTGATATTTCTTGGACTTCTGAGTTATCTGACTTGTGTACAAAACATGCCATTCTGCACTAAAACAGTACACGTGCCTAAGTAGAAGCACAGCGGGAGGAAAACAGACTTCATGAAACCTTATGGCCGAACGAGGAAAAAGATGAACAACGCTGACAAATGTCAACTACGATCATTATGTGGTAGAAATTAATGTAGGGCCTGACCTTTTCCAGTTGATATTTCATTTTCACTGAAACATTTTTTCGGTTCATTCAGTACCCTGGTTCCCCTGTCTCCGAAACTGCTACCTTGACTTAAAGGAATTTTTGGAGGCTTATGTTCCCTTTCACATTCTCCAATATCCACTAAATGAGCATCAAAGGCTATTGATTCTCCAGATTTTACTGTTTCATCTTTCTTCATAAATCTGCTATCCAATAGTTTCCTGTTTTCATCAAAGAGCATGACCTGCACAAAGACCACGAGTGCCATGGGCAGAAACTTTACCTTTCAATTGATTTATTTATTTTTCCTAGTAAGAAACTGATCGTTCAATGAGAAGAATGAAAGAATATAAAGGCATACCAAAAAAAAAAAAAAAAAAAAACAAAAAGGGAGTCTAACCTTAATCATATATATAAAAGGACGCCAATCCAAAAGAACAAAACCAAGATCATAATGTCTAGAGACTAATGCCCATAAGAAGGAATTGAACCTAGCCATTTCCCAAACCTCACCAATCCCTTGACCTCCCGAAAAATTCTATTATTCCTCTCAATCTTTTGGCCAACCTTACAATTGATTAATACTTCATCATGATAACATACATCGTTGGAAAAAGATTCTAATATATATCAAAGTTGAGTAGAAGATATAAAGATAAAAAATTGAATAGTCAAAGAAATAATCAAGAAGTATGGTAGGCTTGGTAAACCAGAGAATTTAAGAAACAACCAAGATGTTAACCTGCCTCCCGAGGGATCCACAAATAAGAAGTTTCAAGAAACCATCATGATACTTCTTAGCTTTCTGGGTAATATTTGAGGTGTGAAGGACCTGCCACTCTACGAACATCATATGGTTAATCATGTGAATAAAGACAACACAAGAAACAGATCAAGACAGAATGAAAGAAATTGGTAGCTGCATAATGATTGACACTTTGGGAAATCCAAGTATGCTTAAATAGTACATTAGTCATGGGACTTTGCATGCCGGGACTTTGCATTGACACTTTGGGAGGATTGTTGAGAATGTATACAAAGTTTCATGTTGGCTACATAAGGGGGAAATCATGGGTATATAACTTATGACAATTATCTCCATTGGTATGAGATCTATTGAGTGGAACAAAAAGCAAATTCCTGCAAACTTATATCCAAAGTGGATAATATCATACAATTGTAGAAGTATGACGGGAGTCGCTATTCCTAACATCTACTTCATGGGACTTTGCATGCCGATCTTTTTGTATTCAATCACCACAAAGCATCCTCTTCTCAGTCAAAGGCATAGTTTGTGCACGACTATACAATTTCCCACTCCATCAATCATCCAATTGTACTGCAAAATGCGCTTGTTTCTAATTCTTGTTCAAATCATTTTTTTAAAATAAATACTTCATATTTCTTTTACATGGCACAGAAGGCTACGCCATCCTACATAGAGTATCAAAAGGCTAATTTTAAACTCTTGTAGCATTTCCTTTTCACATAATACATTTCCCCTGTTATCGTCGTTGACAACCAAGGAAAGAGTCACAAATTACCTTTTTAATCCACATGATCACTTTACATGGCTCCTCGATCTTGTGTACTCTGAATTATGGGCTCCAGTTCATATCTCCTCCAACAACCATCTCTTATCACTGATAGAAATATTTTTTTCATACGTTTTCTCCCTTTCTGTTATTTTCTTAATTCTAAATCCAAGGCCTTCCAGTTGCAGTCTACCCTTGGCTAGGCTTCTATATATTCGAGGGAGGTAATTAGGTTACCTGGAGTTCAGAG